CCCCCCCACGGAATCAATTGAGGCCCCAAACGATGCCTAAACGAACGCGGGGTGGGCACACAAAAGAATTTTATTTTATTTTTAAAAAGGAATAACTCCCAAAGCAACACGCCATTTGCCAAAGCAAGACGGAGAACGGAACCCTAACGGCCGTGTGCACAAGTCCAAAAAAGGGCAAACTCAGAATATCTCAAAACTCTCAACCTAACCTCACAATTGAATTGAACTGCAGTCTCAAATAATGTAAAATCCAATTCATGAACCCAACATTCGGTCGGCATTTGTCATTGTATATATTCCATCTTCATATGATATATGTCTTCTTTTTTACTTTTTTGGATCTCTTTTTCTTTTTTTCTTGGGTGGGGGAGCTTAATTCACTCTTGTCTATGTGCTCAACTCATATATCTCCTGAAAAACCTCAATTTCTGTCCCTTATTTATTATTATCTTAATTTCTATTGGCTATGGTTTCTATGAGCAACAAAGTAAAGATGCCTAGGGCTTCCACGTTCACAGCAAGGGTAGTAAAACTTCCTGCCGTCTTTCCTTCCGCCGACTGGATATCCCAAAGCTGGAGAGTAATACCCAGCTGCTGCTGCCGCCGCATACGATGAAGGCGAATAGAAGCGGCTGACTTTTTCCGGCTTCAATTTCGATGCTGGAAAGTCAAAGCACGACATAGGCGATGAAGGAGGAGAGACTTTTTTCGCCGAGCTGAGTGGAAATACAACAGCTCTAATCTTCATCTCCCGATTCGTCAACGCCGAAACTCGCTCGTACTCTTGAATCATATTCATCAGGTCCTCATCACATGTAATGCTTACCAAAACATCCAAATCCTCGCTCGGCAACTTACACTTCAAATTCATTGACGATCCACACAGTTCTCCAAACTTCACCATCAACTCTGCACCAATTAATTTTCATCAGCTCCTATTTTCCCCGCAAAAAGCACAGCAATAACTCTACTTTTAAAAAAAGAAAATAAATAATGTACTAACGGACCTGCAAAGGAAATATAGCGATCGACGGAGAGAACTCTGGTAAAGCCACCGACGTAACGGAGGTTGCCGTCGGAGGGACGGGGGAGGATTCTCCCGCCGTAACTATAGAGAAATTTGATTGCGTGCGTAGAGTTCATGCTTTGGATTGAGTTATACGAGGTAAGGAATTGAAAAGTATTTTTTGAACTGTAAAGGAGAGAGAAGAAAGCGGAGGAGCTTCTAGAGAAAGAGAAGATGCTTTGAGATTGCGGGCACCTTCAAGAACCATAAGGCTAGGGAATAAGCTGTATATATAGGGTGTGAGGACTTGAAAATTTTGTTACTCAAATTCAAAGCGGACAAGTAAAGCAAAGGAAAAGGTGTTGTTGGGGGTGGGGTAAAGAGGTTATTCGGATATTCGTTAATTTTCTTGGGATCCAAAAGATGGATGGTCCACTCAAGATGGGATGAGTGGTTCAACTGATGAGCTGTTGGGCTTACGGGTATGATTCGTGTAGCTACAAGAAAGGGCTGGGTGGAATTGAAATTTTGGATTTCGGCTGGTGCCGTGTTTTCACGGTTTGGCCCGATCCATTTTTTTGGTCTGTTGCTCAACGAACCCAAACCTGCCATTTTTGTCATCTTCTCCCTTCAACTCCTTGGCCCCATTCAATTTTTTTTTTGATTTTTCATCCGGTGTTCAGTATCCGCATTGAAGTCCGACTATCCGGATTCGCACCGCATAGGATTCTATTCGGGGGGAAAGCGCTCCCTACCAAGAATTATTTTATACACATGGCTCACACATGAGACCTATGGTTAAGGGAGTGTCTCATCCACCACATCCTTTGGTTGTCACTATTACTAGGTTTACAAATTAAATTTCTTAGAAATTTGAGTATTTTAAAGTAAAAATTTAAAAAATAAGTCGAAAAGGAAAACAAAACTTCACAATACATCTAAAAAAATATTTTTGATTTTCTATTTAGTGATACATATTTGAGATCGCTAGGTGATGAGAATCTAAAAAAATATTGCTTTAACCTCAAAAGTTTCTTAAAACATAAAACTCACTGCGAAATTGATGATTTTAGACTTATTTTTTGAATCCCTCAGCTTTAGGTTTGTTAAATTTTTATCTTCTTGTTGCTATTTTTTTCACATCCAGTATTGGTTGACGTTGAGACTTTGATTAATTCAAATTTGTATCGCCCAAAACCAATTAAAGAAGAAAATTTTATCATTAGAATTGTTTTCATATCGAAGGCTCGAATAGAGAACCTTTGATTTAAGATACAAAATCCTATTCATCCCGCTATAATTTTTGGTGGTTATTATTTTCTCCAATCAATTCTTGTTATTCTATAAAAAAATTCTTATTTTCGGTATTTCCTATTTAATGACGTGAATCAGTTTGCACATTTTCAAATAATAATTCAAGTTTATTACGTGCAACAAAAATGTAACTATTTGTTTTTGATAGGTAAAGCAGAGATTCAAAACAAAGGTTATGCGTGATGACAGATTGAATGTATAAAATAATTTAATTAGAAAATCAACTATTAAATATGTAACACTTTAATTTGCTTATTCGATCTTAAGAAGATCAATTCATAAACAATTCATCGTTCAAAATGAGTTCAATATATGTTTACCCAAAAAACGAATAGAGTTGAATTTGTATGTAGTTCTAAGGGTATGTGGTACAACTTGGCACAAACCGTAAAGGGAAAAATAAATATGTTAATATTGATTGTGAAGACTGAAATACAAGCATAGATTAATGGAGGATGATTTATGAGTAAACAAGATGAAAATAATGTATAAAGCTCAAAATGATAATCTCTCAATATGGAGCATATGCACAGTATCTGGATTATGGTTTCTTAATGTCTCAAATCCCCCTTTTTACAGAGATAATAGTCATCCCTCTTATAGTGGAGGATCATACTTTAGATATATTTAAAAACACATAGTGGTGAACCATGATAAATCAACTTTTCCCTTTTTCCTGCTGAGATGCTCTCCATCAGTGCGGCAGCAACGACTCTTGTCTGTAGGCTCGATATTGACTCGAGCTCGATACTGAATCGAGCTCGATATTGATTCGAGCTCGATTTTGACTCGGGGCCCGGCATTGATTCGGGCTCGGCATTGGTCGGTCTTTGGCTCTCAAGCTCGATAACGTTGCTTCGCATCATGGTTCGATTTGGCTTGGGGCTCGGTATTGATTCAGGCGCTGAAACTCAAAGCTCGGTAACCCGACTTCGGATCTTATTCCGAAATTATGAAGACGCTTTTCGGCGCTCTTTGGTCCATTGTGTTCCCATCTCGACCAGTCGTACGAAGGCCGAAATCGGTTTCGACCGTATGTAGATAGTTCCCTCGTTTCTCGGGAAGGATGTGGCGAGAAATGATATGATTTCCCAATGGCTCGATCAGATATACACTGACATTAGCATCGAGCCCGACCATGACGTCCGTGATAACTGTCCCGTCGGTTCAGTTTACCAAGGCATTAAATGTGTGCCAGACGATGGTCGACCATTGCTGATATTGAACCGCCATTCCCCAATCTATAAATAGCTTCTCTTTTTACCATTTACCACTTTTACATCTCTAGTTTCCAAAATTTTCTAAGCTCTTTCTCGCATCTTCTGAGTTTATCTGCAAGACTGTGATTTTTATTGCAAAATCTTCCTTCTGTGATTTTCACTGCAAAACCTTTCTTTAAAACACCATATCTTTGTCATCTCCTTCTATTCTCGTTCTTCAAAACCAAAATGGTGAAAACATCAAAAACCGTTCCTAAAAAAGAAGAAGCTTCTTCTTCACAGCCTGCCACTGATAAAATACCGGTGGAGCCACGGCCTGAGGAGTGTATTCCCGGGGCATGTGTTCTTACCTCCGATTTCAAGGTCGACAAAGGTTCGTCGGTCCCCGGCCGATGCGAGCCAGTATCGAGGTATATGTATTCGATAACCGAGGGGCATCTCGAACATATAAGGAAAGATTGCAACTGGGAGAATAATGAAGTGATAATCCCGTCTCCCGAAGAAAATATTACTACTCATGTGAAAGGACTTTTAGGTGTGTATACTTACCCTTTCACGTTAGGTCCTCTCGACCCTGTTATCATTGATTTTTATCGTCAATACCAAATAACCCTAGGCCAAATCCATCCTTCTTCTTGGCGGATCGTTATTTTGATCCATTTCTTTGTTAACAAAATCGAGGGGATGCCTTTCACCCTCGACTACCTCATTCGATTGTACAACCCCCGTCTCTTTCGAGGTGGGTTAATGAAACTTCAGCACCGGGCCACCAAGGTTCTGTTCTCGAGCATAGACAAGGACAAGGATCGAGGCTGGATAGGTAGGTTCGTCCGAGTGAAGACTTCGGACCTAATACCGGCCGAGAAGATGTCATTTCCTGAGGAGTGGAACATGAAGCGTAAGTGTAACTCTGCTGTTATCTCCTATTGTTTTGCCCCTTCGTTTCTTTCTCACTGATATCATTTTTTGTGATGCAGCGGTTCCTTGGATTCCTGGTGCAGTTCCTGACCTCAAGATCTGGGTACGGGACCTGGCTTCGACCTCTATATACGCCGAGCGCTCATGGCCTGATTTGTCAAAGGGCCGATGGGAGGCCAAAAATCATGGTAAGCCTCTGTCTCGTATCTTTGATAGATCGAACAAAGTATTTTGCATATACTTAATCAATTTTTTTTTGTGTAGGTTTGGGCAAAGATGCGGTTTTGAGGCCCCCGCCCGGCGAGGAAGAGGCTTCGGCCTTTGTTCCAAAATAGGTGAAGGATAATAAGACAAAAAGGGCCTCCACTTCTGAAGATCCAAAACCGAAGACGAGGATGGCTCGTAAGCCGAGGAAGAATACCATCGCTTTGACTGGAGAATCAGTTCGGCGCCTAAGGGATGAAGACGAGGAAGAAGAAGATGACGCATCTGTACTGGTGACCCGAGTGAAGAAAACCATTGATGCCTCAAAGGCAGCTGGATCGATGGTGGTTTATGTGTCTCCGCCTCGAACTGAGGTGGTATCGGAGAAGGATTCGGGCAAAGTCCCCAAGTCAACGGAGGTCGAGGATGCCTTCCACCGAAGTCGACAACCGGTGGGTATATCCGAAAGGGCCGATCCCGAAGCTCTCAGAACCAAGGAGAACGCCCCAAGTGACTCGCTTAGGGCAATATTAATCGGAGACTCGCCCCTGCCTTTTCCGAAGGGACAATTTGAGAGGCCCAAGCTTTGGGGGCCCTCGAGGTAGACGGTCCTCACGAGGGAGAGGACCCCTTTCGTGATCTGTTTACCAGTATCGAGGATGCTGCCAGCCCTAGTGATGCATTGTGTCTTTTCCACGAAGTGCAGCATGCTCTGAATCGAGTAAGCCTTAACTCACTTCGTTGGTACCGCCTTCATGTTTGTTTTTATTTTCTAACTTCTTTTCTTCTTTCTTCGCAGGCTGCAACGGTTCATCGAAAAGTGTGTTCTCGATCTCGATCTGAGCTGCGCCGATACAAAGTAGACCTCCGATAGGTCACGAAAGAGAGGAACACCCTTAGACTCCTCTTCGGGCAAAGGAAAGAAGAAATCAAGGGCCTCCGAGCTGAGTTGGCCAAGGATTATCAAGACCAAACCGACTTGACCGAGCAGGTAATGATAATCTTAAAAACCCATGGGCTCGTTTATGGAACGGTGGCTAATATTTCGATCTCACAGCTGCAGCAGAAGCTTGAGGTGATTAGGAAGCTTCGTGAGGAGGTTGATATGATAAGTGCAGAGACCTTGGGATGGAAATATGGTATGGACCGTCTCGCCGCAGAAAAAGAAACTGCTCGAGCTCAATTATCATCAGCCGAAAACCAACTTCATGACATGAAGGAAAAAATCTTGGTCTAAGCAAGAAAAATATAGGAGCTCGAGACTCGGTTGGCGTCCGAACTCGCTAAGGCCAAATCTGACGCTGAAAAAGCAAAGGCAAATGTGGATGCATTCGTGGCCGTCTATCTGGCCGATGCTGAATCTGCTCAGGTACAAGCTAGAGAGGCAACCGAGACCGCTAAAACTCGAGCGCATTGGGTTGATGAACTTGCCAAATGCCGATCTCGAAGGGAGACCCTCGAGGAGATCCATTCTCGAGGCTTCGATCTCACCGAAGAGATAAAAAGGGCCAAAGAGCACGAAGCTGATGTTGAAGCATTGGCTTCCGATGATGATGATGATGATGATGATGGGAGCAGGAGTGGGTCAGAGAGCGGGGAGGAGCCCGATGGAGAAGAGACCTC